ATATATATTGGGGACCCGAAAAAGGATCATGTTTTGAGAACCACCCATATGTGTAAGTGTACAGAGCAAGATGAGGGTGCCGAGGAGGAGGCGACCGGCGAAGTGATCTGTAAATGCCCGGAGTTGCGAAGGCTGTGTGCAGGCTCTGGGACTGGATCCTGTAGAGCTTTTTAGGGGTTAGGGTTGAGGGTTTAGGGCTCAGGGTTGAGGGTTTAGGGTCTAAGCTCATCATGACGGGGAACCGCAACAGACACACGAGAAGTGCGAGGTTGCGGAGGGATGGGTATGGCGCGTCTGAGTCTATGGATACTCGCCTTTCGGCATTGCGTGGTCAGAGGTGCATGTGCGATAGTTCAGGCCTTCTTCCTGCATTAGGCAACGTGCGGTCATAGAAAACTCAAGCCGATGAGAGCAGGTTTAGGGGAACGGGAACTCGGGCTCCTAAGCGCGACGGTGGTTTCGGAAGTGGCATCAGGATTCGAGAAAAAAGCCTCCTGCTTAAATGCCTCAAGAACTCTCACCTGCCGCTCCAGATCCTAGCCTATATACTCCCTAAACCCTAAACTCCCTTAACTAAACCCCCAACCCTAGAGAAGCCCTGATCCTGCGCCAAGAGGCTTCGTCAAGCCTGCCTTCAGGTGATGCTTGTCCACCATCAGCGCCTCTCATCCAACTCTAGGCTCAGATTCAGCTCCAGCGGTTCAAGTACCGATCATAGTCGTACACACACCCCCAAAAGAAAACATAGTACTACTGGTTTAAGTAGCTATTATTAGTTTTGCTGTGATTACGCAAAACTAATGTAGGGCCCTGAATAATTAGAATAGGGCTTTGGGGTCCGTTATACTATAACCATTAACTATATGTTGCAATTATAATAAGGAACCCCTATATTGCCGTCGTTTCAGCAGGTGGACCTGGGCTGCCTTTCCCTCAGGACCCAGGTGCCTGCATGATACATAAGCAATTAATCCTCAAAGCCCTTCTTCAGAATAGCCCTAAACTTTACACCCTAAACCTTCGGCATCTTATAGGGCCTGGGAATTCCAAAAGTGTATGCGGACTACAAGCGGATAACCTTAACGCAGGACAAAATCACCGACTGGCAGGCTTCACCTCCTGCGCCCTAATGTAGGGGCCTTAATAAATAAAGTAGGGTTTTCCGGGTATATTCTATTATAAATAAATATATATATAATATAAAATAAGGAAACACCAAAATCTTATGGGAAATTATTGAGGCCCCTGCACTAAGTCCAGCTGGCTTGAAGACGTCTGGTCTTGTGCTGTTGGGGGCCCGGACGACTTAGACAACGTCTCTGGGGTGATTGTATAGCTATGACATATGGGAATGCTCTTACAAGTGCTGATTGTCGAAACATCTTTGCAATCCCAAACAATCCATTCAGGGGACACCATCACAAGCAAAATTGCTAAACATGTATTCTGTATTAGGGTGATTTACACTTGCTATTTTCCGCTTAGTCTTTGAATATTCTGTGTTCTTTACCATGACTGTTGCTGCTGCCCGTAAACCCAGAAACCCCACTAAGTCCCCTAAACCCTAAACCCTAAACCCTAAACACCTAAACCCTAAACCTTAAACCCTAAACCCTGTTACTATAGTAGTGCCTGCGTCGCCATCTCCTGGTCCTTCTCCGCGCCTTTGATGGCGGAGTTACAGAAGACGCCTCTGCAAGAGGCCAACGTGTATGTATGTATATACACATATGTATGTATATACTTATATCGGTCCTATTGTTGGTAAGAGTGTGTCATTTTGCTGTTGCTCTTTTTTGCTGTTGCTGCGGGGGGGGTGCTTTTTTGTTGTTGCTGTCGGGGAGTGTTTGCTTTTTGCTGTTGCTGCAGGGCGGGGCGGTGTTTTTCCTTTTGCTGTTTGGGCCCCCACCGGCCGTTCACTCACTTGCTGGTTTGCTGGGGCTTCAGCTGCAGAGCAATTTGTGCCGGAGGGGGGGTGCTGTTTGTTTTGCTGTTGCTGCGGGGGTCGGGGGGTGTTTGTTTTTTTTGCTGTTGCTCCCGAGGGTGCTTCTTTGTTTTCCTGTTGCTGCGGGTGGGTGTTTGTTTTTTTTTTGCTGTTGCTGCGGGCGTTTTTTTGGGCAGTTCACTTACACACGCACATACATACTTACATACTTACATACATAAATTCGAGCGTAATATCATGTACTATCGTGAGTGGTCATAACAGCATACCAGGTGTGCTATGCTTTCAGCTTTTCGGTAATTCTCTGTTCTAGTCCTTCACATAAATCTTAAATCCTGGACGCTCACGAGGCTGAGGCAGGTCTGATCTGAAGTGCTCACGTTTTCGGGTATGGGATAGATGCATCTGAACCTTACCAGACCTCCCCTGTACCGTATCCTGAGTACCCACATGAAAACAAGCAACACTCATAAGGAATGTTGAAGCTGCATCACGACGGGAGCATGTGAGCCATGGAAAGGAGGGTTTAGGGCACCGGGAAAATCGGTCGAGCCAGACATAGAACATGCACACAGACATGCAGACGATCGCGTGCACACACAAGGGGCAGCTGGCCAGCAACACGACCAGAAAGACTACGTAGCTGCTCATGTTGTGACGGTCGCGGAAAATCAACGCAAAGCAAACTGCATGCATGTAATTTGCGTCTTCCAGAGGTGTAGTTGCAATCTTCAAGCCATGACGATATGCTGCCTGTCATCACATTCAAAACGGCGAATAGGCAGAAAGCCACGTAGCACGTGAACACGTAAACCCAAGTCCTTGGCCAGTGGGGCTCGCGTGGAAACAGCACTTTAGGCAATTTTGCATTCATGGTCTACACTCTTTTCTTGGTCTGACATAACCTGATAAAAAGCATGGGTACGTCTGATTCTGCAATGATGAAGATCGAGGCCCTGCATCTTTGCAACTGTGGAAATGGCACGGCCGCTGCTGCTGCTGCTCCTGGTCCTACTGTTCCTACTTCCCCTACCACCTCGTCTCCGGCCAATTTCAATCACAAATGCGCAATTTTTCCTAACTCCCTGGCAGCCTGCGGTTGAAACTCAGAGATAAGCAGCAAGAACACTCTAGAACGACGGCAGGTTCACCAAGCAACGAGCTTAATTGCTGATGCAGGAAGGATCAATACGATTGTAGGTGGTGTCTGAACCAAAAACCCAGACCCCTACCCCCTGAACAAGGGCTTATGCATGTTGTATTGAAGCTGCAATCCGACACCGGTTATTCCCCGGTTGTAAAACAGTCATCTAAGTTCTACGACAGAATGCTCACTATCCGAACCTAAGTCGACATGCCTCCGAACATACTTCTTCGGGTATGTCAGCTCAGGAGAGGGTGATCAAATATCCAAAGGCCCTGGTAGATGTGTCCATCTCTAGGGCAAGGTAGGGGTCTGAGCAATGAGTGTGGACTTTCTGTATGTCTGCTATACTCTAACTATATAGGGACTATAAGGGTAGTTTATTGCTAAGCATTCGACCCCTGTACCATCCGTGAGATTGCAGAATGGGAACCAGAACCTTGAGCGTTAAAAAACCGCACCCCTTAAACCATAAACGTAACCAGCACGGAAGAGAGCAACCAAACTTGGCAATTCCGATCATAATATACAGCTATCTGCCGTGTCCACGATTTGAGATAGAGTTTGGGATTTCAGGGTTTAGCTGGGTTCTTTTTAAGGGGTTTTACCTAAATTACCATAGTATGGATCTATAGTGAATAATATGGTTTCCTTATTATGGTAGCTTAAGTTAAATCCCCTAGCAAGAGCCCAGCTGGGGTTGTAATTACGGTCTTTTGGTCTTTTCAACCGTAGGCAATGTGGCGAACACAATCCCTCAGACTGTGAACCCTAGACCCCAAACGGAACCGTGCGTTTCAGCAGCCAGCCGATGGTCTCAAGGGCATTCGTGGCCTCAACCCATGACCTCACTCAAAGGTTTAAGGCTCAATACCAGGGCATTAAGAGTAAGAATAGGGTTTGATGTATTGTGGTAGTAGCAGCAGCAGTAGGAGCAGCAGCAGCAGTAGCAGCAGCAGTAGTAGAAGTAGAAGTAGTAGTAACAGTAGTAGTAGTCGTCGTCGTAGTAGTAGTAGTAATAGTATTGGT